CTTTGCGCCAAACTTCGTCACACGCCACCCAGTCATTTGCATGCAGGCAGATCAGGTTTTAAACTGTCTCCGCTGTGCATGAGATGGCACGAAACTTCCGCCCGAGGGTTTAAACATATAAGCACCCATTTGCACATGCCAATCCCTCCCCAGCCTCGAAGCCTCATTCATTAGCAGGAAATTCAGGCACCCTTTTAATTGGCAATTATCTTCAGCGATAAGCCCTTTGTCACAAAAGTGGGCGACAGTCACACCCACGTGCGGGCTTGGGAGGCAGCATGCGCTTTCTAATTGGATGGAAAATTGCCCACGGATCTTTGTCAAGCTGTTCTGAAAATTGCCATCAAATTTGTACAGGAGGGACTGAACCGAGTGTTGCCTGAGACCGTGCACTCGCTGCTGCGCACTTGGTGCTTCGCTCCCACGGATTTTGATGCACCTGTGCATTAGTAAACAAACAGTTTCTTTGCAAAGAGGTGCCAGAGGAGTTTTGGAAGCCTTCTGATCTCACGTTAGTTCTTTGCAAATGTATAACTTTCATAAATGCCAAATTCACACCAGTTTGGGTTTTTAGGGGGGTAGGATTGCCAAGAAGCCTTTTTTTTTTTTTCTTTTTTCAAGAGGAGCTTTGCTTCACAGCCCTTGTCTGATTAAATTTGTGTTTGAGATGCATGATTTAAAGTGTGACTCTTGCTATATTTAGATGCTGGCATTTGTTAAAAATGGGTTGTCTCTACCCGCCAGCCCTGGCATATTTGTGCGGACAAGAAGCTGCTCAAAGCCCTCTTTGATTCTCGACTCAAAGGCAGAGAGATTGAGAGAGAGAGAGACTGGCTGCGTGGCCCCTGGATGCATCCTTGAAGTATGGCCTAGTCTCTTTGGGAGGACTTGCTCCCAGGAAACCAGGCATAGGATCGCCACTTCAAAGGAGAGACCAGGAGGAATTAGAGGTTGTGCTTGAGTGTAAGTTTCAGGGTCGATCTGCCCATTCTAAGCCCCTTTTCCTGTTATAAAAAGTAACTGTACAGGGACCCTCAGTTTAAAGTGGGGCCTCAGCATGGAAGAAGTGTGGTGTTTAATCTTTTGTCCCCATGCCCTATTTATTTATTTGTATTTACTGAAAACTTTTTTAGACCATCCCTTAATGTGGTCTTGGGATGGTTTAACAGTAAGACAAAATAAAATAAAACACAGCCTCCTAATCAATTTTTTCCAATCAACAATAAAACCCCCTTTTAAAACAATCAAGTCCTAAAACATTGGGAAAATAAAAAGGTGTTGGCCCAGTGCAGAAAAGAATAGCGTGACGGCGCCCGGGGAGCAAATTCCACAAATGGGCCGCCACTGCAGGGAAGGTCCTTCTCTGGGCAGCCACCCTCCTGGTCTCCTTCAAGGAGGGCTCCTGGAGAGGAGCCTCTGCCCCAGATCTTAAGGGGCAGGGAGGCACACGTGGAAGGAGATGTTCCTTCCGGTAACAAGGCCCTAGACAGCCAATATCCAACACGGGGGGCTGGGGGGAATTCATAAACCTGTCTTTCCCCACTGTGGAGAACAGCAGCTTTGGGGCACAGAGAACTGGGGCAGAGCTCCCCTGCCCCTTCCCTCAATGAGTGAGTTCGGAAAACAGGATAATGCACTCTCAGGGGTTAAGCACAGGAGTTGTTGAACTCGGGGTTCTTGCTGAAACATGGGTTATGGGGTGGTAAAAACTAGCTCAACAACCTCTGGAGGGCCACCAATGTCTACCGCTGCTGCAGGACATTGGTGGCTTCTCCCGGCTTCCAGAAGCATGAAAATTGAAGTCTGTGGAGTCACTTCATTCCTCGGTGTTACAGGGAACAACCTAACACACAGGTGCCATTTTCTCTGACAGGCATGCCTCTCTTGCAATGTATCATACCACCCTAGACCTAAAGTGGTAAGAAACCTGCGTTGCCATGGAAACTTCCTTATCAGTTTATAGTCCTTCCTCTGAAGCAGACAGCAAAAAAGATATCTCAGAAAAACACTCCTTTTAAGCATTAATTCTCATACAGTTATTAATGCATCCCTCATAAGCGTTGCATGCGCCCACAAACCATCATCATCGTGTGGGGGAACTGTAAAACTCAGAAAGAAAGAAAAAAATAATAATTAGACTATTTTCAATAGATTCATCTTTGAGTTTAAAGCAAATGATTGCTTTTTTGTTCTTCCAGCAACAAGTTTTTGATTCAGTGACTCACTATCCTCATTTTAGGTTTCAGGTAATACTAACAAACACTTAAAAATCATTATGGTATTTTGAAATTCATTCGCCATTCATGTAAGTGCTTATTTTAATTAAGTATAAAGTGAGGAAATGCTTATTAATATAGATAATACAAATACTGTTGTGTTCATGCCATCAGTGAAAAGAGGAAGATCATATTAATCTGCTTGGATATTGCCCAATCCATACTCCAAGACTTGTAGCCCTAAGCAGTCTGAAACCAAATATCTCAATGTATCCGTCCTTATGCATATTCTTCCTTGTGCCCCAGGATCTGTTGAGAAAGATGAGATTTTAGGAACATGGGAAAACATTGGACCTTCAGGTTGGACCTTTGGTCTAGCTTGCCCAGAATGGCCCACTCTTTTCAAGAAGAGTCTTTCCCACCACCCAATCTGATCCCTTTGACTTGATCTGCGTAATTTCTCCCGCGGAGCTAAGCCTGTGGCAAATATGTCTCCATCTTGGCATACCTATGTGTGGAAGAAAGCTGTGAGGTTCTAGGCCTCTTATAATGAGTACCGACAAGTGTGCAGGTGTGTGCAGGAGTGTGGACTTTTGGCAGAAACATTGCTGAAATTCTCCTGCATTGGCGTTTCTCTCTGGATCCAAGAGTTCTGAACTGAGCCATCTGTTTCTGAACTGGAAGCCATGCATGAGAAAGCCTTCATGGATGCATTTTGTATTTCCAGGTTTTGCACAAAGTGCTGAGCCTGGCAGTTCATGTGGGACTCTCCACTGCTTTCCTCATTAGAAGGACATGCACAGTTGTTGTGCATATTGATAAAACACGCCAAAAAGCCAACTCGACTGTATGAACTGCTGGATCACAGCTGTTTGTGCACAGTGTGGGGAACATGAGAGGGCTGGCTACATTGTGTCCTTGCCCTACTATAGCCTCCCCCCAGGAAACCAGTGTGCCACTCTGCAAAGAGGATGTGCTTGCTGAAGTACCAGCCCCAGGCTTTGAAAGGTTCTTGGGCAAGAGACCCATGACGACTCTTCTCCTCCACTGCGTCTGCCTTCTGATCTCCAAACCGACCACCGGCTCTCAATCCACCATGGAGACCTCTTTCTCATCTGGCAAGCAGAGATCCACAGAACAGGCAGTCTGTAGCATCTCCCACTGTTCCTTCTTCATAGGGCGGACATGGGCAGTCCTGTGCTGGAGACACTCCAGGAGGGGCAGGGGGGTTGTCAGGGGCGTGGGCTGCTGGATGTGGGCCCTTGCATGTGCCTGGCCCTTGGCTCCACCCCTGAAAACAGGCACGTCTGTGTGGATCTCTGGTCCTGGTTCTGCTTCGCTGCCTGAGTCCAGTCCAGCAGTTTTCCACTGAGGCAGACTTGCGGCCTGCCTGACGAAGCACACCATGAGTCTGGATTTGTGTGCCTGCCAGCTTCCCTGTTCCAGTCACCTGTCTGATCCTGTGTCTGCCTGGCAGAAGATACAGAGCTGGGAAATGGCCATTTATCATTTCTTTGTCTCAGTTAAACTGCTGGAGGACAACTTAGAACATTTCTTTCCTGAGACTCACAATGCAAATATCTCTGTGGGTGGTATCATAAAACTGTCATCTCCTCACCTAATCAGGCAAGAAATCAAGAAATGAAAAATATGTTTAGGATTCAGCCTGGCATATGCTTAGAGAGAAAAAAAAGCCCTCCAGTGCCCAGCATTCCTCAGCCAGAACTTTTTCCTGCCTAAGCATGCATTGGCTTGTGACCTTCATGAAAGAAATGTTTTAGAACATTGCGTGGACGGTGTTCTGCCTTGTGGAGAGCACAACTGGGCTACAGTAGCCAGCCAGCAGTGACTCAAAGCATGGTTATAACCTATAATAAAAATAACAACCAAAAAGTAATGCATGAAGGATTTAAAATTGGGATCTGTGTCAAAGGGCGGCCAACATACGATGGTAACTTACCTTGGATGAGCCAGGAACTTTGGCATTGCCAAGCTCTCAGTCAGCAGTAAGCTTGCTAAAGGAGCTGGGTTCAGACAACCCATTCCAACAACAGTCGTTTGATGACTGCCCACACTCAGCCTTTGCGTGTGGGCTATTTTGTTCTCTTAACTCAGCTGTTGGCAGGCAGAACAGGCAGTTCTGACCTAGATGCACCAAGGATGTGGCATGCTGACCAGATAAAGGGGATTTAAGAGTCAACCCCCTTGAGACCAGCCCTGAACATTCATTGGTAACATGTGTAGCTCCTTAAGGAATTGGTGCTAGAGCTGAGAGGTTGGACCTCTCTCCGTCCAAGGGACACAAGCAGCTTTGGGGAAGGTCTTGGGGCAGACTTCCAGTGGTGGATGGGGCTGAAGGCAAAATGGGCCAGGGCAGAAGACCAAAATACCAGCCTGTGGTCGATGGATAGATTGCAGTTCCATACCCGCAACAGCAGGAGCTCTCTGTGTGGTTCACATCAGTTAAAGCTTTTACTTCTAGCAGCTAAGCCTTGTGAAGGGGATTTGAACCTTTTAGAATTGGGGTGGGGGGGCTGTGCAAGATCGAGGAAACCACAACATGGTCAGTGATCAAGGGAATGGGTCAGGGAAAGAGGATGCACCCCCCCCGACGTACCCCAACATGTACCCCAACATCTCATCCCATTTTGAAGTTCCTGGATGCTCTTCAAAGCGCCTCTGCATGGTTCTCAGGATCTGTTGCACAGCTTCGGTTCTGCTCATTGCAGCTGTCTGGAAAAAGCAACTCACTGACATTTTTCTTGTGGTCTTTTTTCTTTTCAGTGAAACCCAAAATTTATGAAAAGGAGACTGATTTTTACAAGGCTGAACAAGTCAAGAAGGGAGGAGAACACAGGCTCCAGTGCACAGCCAGTGGGATCCCCCTTCCCACCATACACTGGGAATGGGAGCCGTGCAGTCATGCAGACAACGAGTAAGTAATCCTTGTGATGCATGCATCTGGTTGCATACGAAGCATTTTTGCATGATCCTACTTATTAAAAGCACAGGGGATGGTCAGTCTTGAAGATGCAGAAATGCTGCAGAGTAAGGAACATTGCAAGCATTATTTGCTAATCCTGGAGAAGAAATAAACAGATATGGGGCTTTGCCAACTGGGGATTATAGAATTTTACGCTATTATGAATGTTCTTCAGCCTGTCGGCTGTGGAAAGGGATGATCCAGGGACTGGATACAGAGCCCTTCAAGGAGAAACTGAAAGGACTGGGATTGTTTAGCCTGCAGAAGAGAGGACTGAGGACTGAAGACTGAGCCTCTTGAAGGACTATCCCATCCTTCAAGTACTCCCAAGTACTTGGCCTTCAAGGACAAGTACTTGAAAGGCCGTCACCAAGAGGAAGGATTTAAATCTCAGTGTGGGACCTAGAAGCCAACAGGATGGGCCATTTCAGGATGTAGGACATTTAGGGGTTGTAGTTCAACATAACCTGGAAAATTCCCAGGTTGGGGGAGGCAGGTCAGTTTTCACAGGCCCTCGGAAGACTCGCTTGCATTCCAACATTCCTTTCCAGTCCGAGCATCCCTATTTCTCCTTCTCTGGGAAGGGGCGATTTGGGGGCTTCTCCCGCACTGCATGCAGCTAAGTCAAAGAAAAACTCTTCCCACTTCACTGGGATGCCCCCAAAGCTTCCAAGCGCCACTGTTCAAGTCACATGACCCACTGAAGCAGAATACAGTTCAGCAGACCAAATGCCCAAAGGACTGCAGACAGATCCTTTTTTAACCTTCAAAGCAAATGTCCCAGTTGCCCACTTGACTCCCAAGAGTTGAGACTCTTTTTCCCCCAGAATAAACAGCTACCAAAAAACATCGACCCCCTACTGGGACATTTTGAACTTTTCAAATATTCCAGTTGAAATATTCCAACAGCTGCTCAGAAGCAAATAAACACGTCCCTGCAGTATGTGTATCCTAAAATCTTCGAGCCGGAACAGAATTCAAGCTGGCTTTGTCAATTTTGACCATCCAAGATGAGATGTTAGGAGAAAAAGGGACAAACAGCCAAACAGCAGAAGTCTGATGATAGTCTGATCATATTTTGGACACCGATTTGATCACAGTGTGGTGACAGAACTGTGGAACTCTTTTTTACAAGAAACAAGAATATTCAAAATGGTGTTTCTTCCTATGCGCCTTCGTGCTGCTTCTGTGTAATTCTGGGGAGCACCATAGCCAGCCCTACTTTACATCAGGCATTCTCCATGCCTCCTAAAGTTTATAGATCTGCAATCATAAGGACTAGTAACTTGTGCTATGTTCCACAATCCAAGCTTATATACAGGGTCATTGGATAAAGAGTATGTATGCCGGGAAGAAGAAGGCAGGTGACAAATACTGAAACAGGGGAAGAAATGGGGCTTTGGAGCAGGGCATTAAGACTCACAAGGAGGAGAGAAGTTCAGGGGAAAACCCTGGCAGCTGACGGTGCCATCAGGACTTGACAACCCATGGTGCTGACATGCAGGTGCCCGGCCCTGCATTATCCAAGTTGACTTGCACGGGCAACGGCCAACATCATCTTCACAGAGCACACAATCAGAGTATGGAATTAGCTGCCACAAGATGTGATAGTGCTTACTAGCTCTAGATGGTTCAAGGTTAGGCAAAATGGAGGAGCGGGAGGACCACTCCTTTGTAGCTCAGGATGGCGGGGGAACACGTCGGCCTCGAGCGGGGTGAGCTCACCAGGTCACGCATCTGTTCTGCATGCACATGAAGAGGGGTCTCCGCTCCCAGGTCCCACCCACGGGGCAGACACGAGGGTTGAAGGAACAGGCCCGTTTCCTTGTGAGAAGCTGGGGACGGAGCAGAAGGGATGACAAAGCCCACATTTGCCGAGCAGGAATCAAGAGAGCTAAGCCTGAGGTGCTGCTCAGTATCATTCCTGCAGGCAAACGGGCCGTTGCCTTTGTTCCTGCTGCAATGTTAGCAGAAGGGCCCATGGGGAGCGACTTTGGCTCAGGCCTGAATGGAGAGCCGTTCCCCTGGTGAGCACCAGTGGAGATGTCTGGGAGCCAAGCGAAACAATCCCTTGTGCACTCTAACCCTCCTCCGCCGCGAGAGGACTGGAGTCAGGTTTTCCACCCATAAAAATAGAGGACAGATGTGGAAATATAAAGAGCTGAAGGGGCTGCTTTATGCTCTTGTTATTTTTTAGAGATGTTTTCTTGCGGGGGGTGTGATTACTGTCATTTGAAGCGCTTCGGTGGAAAATGTTTGAAGTTGTGATCACAGCCGCCTTTGTTGTCCAAGGTCATGCCTGGCCACGGCGCGTGCGATGAATGTCCAGGAGCATCGCCCTGATCAAAGTCTCCAAAAGACGGAGAGGTTCTTGACCCACAGGCCTCCCCAGTCTGCCCTGGATTTTGACAAAGCAGGACTTCGGGTTTCTAGGAAATGCTCGCAGGGTGGGAGGTCTCTGGGCATGTTTCGGTTTGTTTTGTCTCCCTTGCACCCACGCCCAAAACCTCCGGATTATCAGATTGGCCCTGTCATTCCAAAAGCCACCAGAAGTCTCAATGTTTACAAATGGCTCATATTTACCTAATACTGTTAAAATAATCACTGCCTTGCTCAGGGGCACTTTAAAAATGCTTGCAAATGCAGCATTTTTCTTTTTTATTGTAGATCCAAATTTGTGGAGGGCTGTGTTCATTGGACCGCCCGGCCCCAAAGGCAGGGTGGGGTTTGCCTCTTCCTTGCCGCTGTGCTGGTTGCCTTTCTGCTTGCCCCGTCCCTTTCGGCCGGGCTCACACAACCACCCAGAGGGGGATGCAAGGAAAGTGGAGGCTTCGCTCTGCTCGCAGTGAGGTGCTGAGGTGCGCAAGATGAAATAGCAAGAGGTCTGCGGACTCTGCAGATTCACAGCAGGCTTCCAGCTCAGATGGGCCTTCGGCAAATGCTTGATGCTCCCAGCTGGCCCCACTGTGGCCATTCTGGCAAGTGGGCCTTAGGATGAGTCACTCTCTGGTCAAGGAACACCTGTGCCCCCCCCCCACACACACACCAGTTTTGCAGTGTTGCCAAGTGGTGCAGCCAGTGCACAACTGCAATTCTGAGCAAACTTGAGCCGTGTTCTGCTGCTCTTTATCTATAACAAACAGCGTCAAACTGGAAACTGAAGAAATGTACTTTAAAGTGAGTGGGTGGATATTCCTTTTTCTAGTTAGTCCTGAAGGAGTTTGCAGAGCTTTGCAACAGGAGTTCAGACACTTTAAGCTGCTTGCTGAGGTTTGCTGGATGGACCAAGAATGTTCCCGGGCACCCCGTGATACACCGGGGACATTCCGGGGCACCTGCTTCAGCTCAGTTGCACAACCTGAGGCTGACCCTGCTGGGAAGGGCCACTGTCCATGGTGCTGCCGTTTTCCCTTCCGTGTTGGTCAGAGGCCGAGTTCCTAAGGAAGCTCCTTAAGCCAGAGCACTCCCAAAATCTTGCATGCCAACAAAAAGCACCTCAGAAAGCTCTCAGACTGGAACATTTTCATGGATTCCATGATCATTCTTGCGTCGGGTGACTAAGTTGCAGGACTGCTACATCTCTGCCCTTTCCCCATTTCAGATGCAAGCAGCGTGGCAGGAAAATCAAAGTGGAGGACATCGTTGGGCGTGAAGCCTCATACGCAGCCAACAAAATCAAGAAAATTGAGAATAGGACCGTAATTCATGACAATACATTAAAGGTAAAGATAGAACATAGTGAACATTGATCTGATGCAGCTTTGCTGGATTTATTGTGTCTTCCTTTCTGGATTTTTCCCAGGCACTAATTTCCTTCTAGCACCAAATCTTTGGCATATTTTAAATTTTTTCTCCCTGGGATCATTTTCAAATCTTCTCTGTTTACTGAAATGCTCAGCTCTAGTAATGATGTCACTTGCCCCATGTAAAAAAAAATGAAATAGCTCTCCAAAAATGCACAGCTCACTCAAAATTCCTTTTGGTCTCAAGCCTGAGAAAGTGCAAGGAGCGATGTAGCCACGAGAATCCTCGCAAAGGGCATACGGCTAATGAGTTCTCTTATCTCACCCGAATGCTCAGCTGTCTTCACAGAGCGTTTTTGTCCCTCACTGCATCATTCCAGTCATACTAACTTCCATCTCTTTTTCTCCAATTTTGGAAAATTCCCTTTTTAAGTAAGGAGAGAAGAATGAGCTGGGGTTTCAAGAGAGCTGCCTTACCTATCTGTCTATCATCCATCCATCTACTATGTATCCATGTATCTATCATCTATCAGCTTCACCCGTGCTTTGCATCTGAAGATAAACTTCCCATTTCTCGCTATGAAAACTCTAGAATAGCTTCCAATGTAAAAGCAACGAGCATATTTGTAAACGACAGTCGATGGGGCTGATGGTGTGGCAATGATATCATTTCCCAAGGGATGCATGCTAATTTCTTGCTTCCCACTATTGTCAAATTCTGCTGGTCTTCAGAGTATGATAAGCCCCTGTGAAACATGTCTGAGTGGTGATGACACCTTCTTCTCCCTGGGAAAATGTCCGTATCCCAATTTCTGTGCATCTGTATGGATTCTTCTGGCTAGTTGCTTGTCGTGTGCTGGGTAAAAGGGTGGCTTGGCTGTCAAGGCAGCCCAGGGACATCCCTGTCCAAGACGGAGGTGTCAGCTCCCCTAAGAAATGTTGCTAGCACCCTCAAAGCCATGCTTAGCTCCCTCTCCTCCATGGTGTGATGCTTTGCCCAAGCAGGAACCTGCAGGTTGTGATTCACATTTTTCCACCAGATGAAAATGGGGCAGAACTCGCATGCTGCCTTCCAGGAGGAAACAAATGGATCCAGGGATGGCTACTGCTTTCCTTGCCTTTCTAAATCCTAGAATGCTACTTGGCCCAGCTCTGCTATTTCCTTGGCCTTGTGGGCCTCGCAGGCAAGAGGGGGCCACTGTTAGTCTTCTGGCTACAGGCTGGGCTCCTACCTGCTGCAGTAGGATTCCCACACTGGATTCCGTGTGAAATGCTGGCGGTCAGGCCATCTGCAGTGGGATGCCAGCACAGGGAGCGGCCAGATCCCATAGGATGCGGGAAGCAGCTTGGTTCTTCCCATGCAGGGTAGCAAGATTCCCTCCACATCATGTCCTATAGGCAAAGAACGTGGACCACTGAATGTGGACCACCTTCTCCTTCTGTGAGAGAAGAAGCCGTCTCCAATGCACTCTGAACAGAGGAGCTCCTTGAAAGGCGTATGGAAGGAGCGGTTGTCACTTGCTGTTGCCGCCTCTTAATGCTATTCTTCCCTCGCGGTTGGGAGGGAGAGAAGCAGGGAGGATACCTGCAAGAGTCAGGAGAAATAACAAAAGGTGAAACTGAGGAAAACTCAGCTTGGCTGTATTTCATGCAATTGAAAAAACAGATCTGTTTTCCCTGGATCACTTCACCATCCAAACATTCAGTGCTAGCATTTCCTGATAGATGGTTTTGAATAGATTGCAGGGTATCTTGCCATGCCTCTGTGTGAACTGTTGGGCAATTTAAGCAAAATTTTAATGTAGAAAAAGCATCATGTTTCAATGCACTACCAAATTTCACATAAAAGCAGAACTCTGATTATAGACTTCACAGGCAAAGCATGGATACATGGAAGCACAGATTTGTAAATATTTCTGCTATAGTTTAGATTTTCACACAGTTGTACTTTTCCCCAAGTGCTTACTTCATTTAGACATAAATCTGGTGCATCAAGAGTAAACTGCCATTTAAAACATGTGTGTAAATTGCACCATTGTACAATTTAAGTTTTTTCTCATTCCTTCAAGCTTAAAAATCTCCCTTTTGAGAATTGTATCTCTCAATTAAGATGAATAAATCTAAATTATCTGAGACTTGGACTTCAGAACTTTCCCTGCCAAGTCCCATGAACAAACGCTCTAAGGAAGTCCAGGGATGGTTGCATGAAGCAAAACGTTCAGATAATAGAATATAACATGATAAACAACGTACTGATGAAAACTGTACAGTCTCCAACTTTCCCCCACCCTTTTCAGTGCTAACACCCACCAGAATTGGAACCTCCAGGAATCCAAGTGATCTATTTCCCACTGTATCCCAGCGAGTGACTTTATTGGCGCTTGGCTAGCCTGCAGAAGCGATAAAAATGTCAGCAATGCTGACTTGCCGGGCTTAAATTGACTGTGTTATGATGCTGGCATTGGGTCAGACTGGATAAGCTTTTCTTATGTGCTTGAGTCTCTTGGATGATGGCAAGAATCTCACATCACAGAGTCTGCCCAGGAGAGCCATTCCCCCGCAGTATCACCTTTGTTTTGTCTCCTTGCACTTCAGGACTGTGCAAAAAAAGTTCTTTGGGAAAGTGTTGCTGGCAACCAAAACGCACATTGCTTATCAGCCCAGTTCAGATCCATATCCTGGCCAAAGATTCTGTTCTGGCTGTAGAGAAGAAAAGTCACTTTCCCCCTTGCCACTTTTATAGTGTTCCCATTTATTTAAGTGTGAGACTTCCTGGCACTTAGAACAACAATATAAAGCAGCTAAGTATGACATCAAGCTGCATGAATTTTAATCCTTGTTCAAGGAATGTGCATTTGCAAGTCTTTGGGAATGGCCGCTATTGTTTATTTTCATCAGTGACTTCCTGGATTGGAAGTGGGTAGTTTGTACGCCTGAAGCCATCCTTGGAAGTAGTAGGCATATTTCAGGCTCCTTTTCTAAAAAAGAAACTTTTCTCCATCTTGTAGGCCCTTTGTAGGCCAAGGAAGGACCATCAAAGGCTGGGGGAGGATGTCTGGTTATGCCTTTGCCATAATAGGAGCATGCAGCCTACCTGAGGTTATCAAGATCCACCAATGCTAGAGGAGGAGAAGCTTGGAGGCATCTGGGCCTGATAAATGCACAGCTCCTTCAATATCTGTGCTATCCGGTGTTAGGAACATGGGGAAGATGAGGCCGTCTGTGCTGCTGGCGAGACCTTTGTCCACTGAGACCAGTGTGGTCTATTCGGAGGACCATCAGCTCTCCAAGCTCTCAGGCAGGGAAAAGTTGCCTGCCACTAGGCCATTCCCCTGAAGATACTGGGGCTCCTTCAGAACCATCTGCATGCAGGGCACGTGTTCTGCCCCAGCTTATTCACTCTTGTCCAAGCAGTGACCGGCAGAGGGCCAACTGTTTACTCTGTTTACTCTGGGCCAGATTTCTTGAGAATGTGATGCTGGAAGCTTGTGGTGTTTGTCTGTTATAGCGTTTATTTATAGGTGGGGCTTCATAGCACCAGCCACGCAACAGATTTCCGCTCCCTCAGTAAATTTGCACGTCAAGCTCCTGTACCCGAAAGATGCTTCTGCAGATTGGAGAAGCACAGGCAGGAGTGCGCTAGAGAGCTCTGGCGAAGCTCGCTCCCCTCCAGCCCGCTGTTGCCTCACCCCTCCCATCTGCAGCAAGCCAAGCTTCGTCCTCTGTTCTCCCAGGCCACTGAAATGCCACATTCCTTCGGGAAAGCTAATCCCCCGTCCCGCAACAGTCCCGAGCTGCTTTCGTGTCATCAAAAACTGAAGCTGGAGATCATGCAGGGCAACCCGTGGCTCAGAAGCAAGCGCTTTGTGCTTGGCCCAAACAGGTAACTAGAGCAACGCCCTGGCCAGGTATGCACAGGTGCTACCAGAAAACCCATTCAAGAAAGAATTGGAAGGCATCCCATGAGGACATCCAGACCAATACACCCCCAAAGCTACACATGGGCATAAAGTGTGGCACCGATCTCTACGTGGGTGGCTAAATGTGAAGAGGCACAGATTGCACAATTCTTCACCTTTGAGAAAAGGGACTTGTGTAATTCTGCTTTCCACACACACTGGTCTCACCAAGAGATTTATTGATTGATTTGTGTTATTTCTGCGCCAACGTTCAGGGCAAAGCTATCCTCGGATGACTCACTTCGAAGACAGTCAAAAGCACGAGTACTAAAATTATCTCATTACTGTTTAAAAAAACCAAAGCCAGCCACCTAAAGCTCTGCGTGGTGAGTCCAAGACAACAGATTCAAACCTGTTGGAAAACAGCACAGAAGCAGGAGCAAAAGCAGAAGCAATCCATCCCTTTCAAGTTCAGACGTCACACATGCCTCAGAGATTACCTGCCTCGGTTTATTTATTCTACAGCTGCCACAACGCAGGCCAATGGGTTTCACTGGGACACGAGCACCTCAGGCGTACCTGGGCCACTGCATGCACCGGGCAAAGTGCTACCTGTGCAAGGCTCACTGCTTCCAGAATGACCTCATTCCCGTGAAGCCCAGGGCTAGCCAAAGGCAGGTCGCTGCCTGAAGCAAAGGACAATGCAGTGCCAGTGTTGCAACGGAACCAGGGCTTGCAGGGATGAAGAAACCGGACGCCTTAATCAGTAGGAGTGCCGTCCCCATTGCCCCAGCCACCTCCCTCAGCCGTCTCTGTTCTCTCTGAGCTGAGCTCAGATTCACGCAGTAATGGGGGCAGAAATGACTTTCCCCAGCCACAGTCTATCGCTGCAAGGGCCCACCTAATCCTAGGTATTTTGGGGATGGCTTGGTCTTGAATGGGCAATTAATGGTGTGAGCCTGTACATAGTTAGGGTGCAAAAAGTTCTGACAACTCCCAGCGTTCCCCCGCATTAAAGCACAATTTGGAAAGAATAGGAAGCTCATGATAGTGAAGAAGACTGCTGTTGGTTTAGACCCA